TATAGAGAAGGAAAGAAGCTTTGGAAGTCTTATTTCAGTTATAACTGATTAAGACTCCTTTTTTCTTAGCATGTGATGTGTCTGACTTGTTTCACTTGGTAAAATATCCTCCAAGATCCACCATGTTGTTACAAATAGATGAGTGTTAGAATTTGTTTATCCTGATAGGTGATGATTACCTGATTGAAGAACTGATGAAGATTTCTGACTACTCTATACATACTGAAAATAAAATCTTATCCTGATACTTTTGAGGTAAATTTTCAATATATTTCTATTAGGCTAACTTAGTACATGATCTTCATGGTTGCATTTTTTTAATTAATTTTCAGTATAGATTATTCATCATTGTTGAAAGTATAGTTTTAAAACAAGTGTAGTTTCTGGATTAATGATTCTTCCTATTTCGTTGTTTTCATTTTTATTTAGATGCTTTGATGTTGAAAGTGCACATGCTTATAATTATAATGATTTAATTATTTTTATATTGGACGTTCTTCATATATTTTAGTAATAATTATCTTTAATATTTCCTTCTTCAATTTTTATAGCAATATTAAAAGTGTTATGCATACTACTATTATAATATATTGATTATATTAATTACAGTATACTAAATATATTTTACTGATATTACCTCATTTTGCACTTGTCTGTATACTTACATTTAGCTATGATATTTAGATTCTGCATGCTATTTTTTGAATTCTTAGTGTCCTCTTAGTACATCATGGAGATTGTGTTTAGGACTTTTTATAAGTGAAACTAGTGAACCTACAGCTATTTTGGGGATACAGGTCTTACTGTGAGTCATCAAAATAGAGATACATAGCTTAGTTTAATGAAATTATTTTCCTTAGGAGCCATCATTTGTTATTTTTCATATTTACTTGTGTTTTATGTTGTATAATTTTCCATCAATAGTATCAGGACTTAAAAATAGAACTTTGCTTTCTTCTATTGTAATCTTTACTATGTTCATTGTGTTCTACCAGATTTGTGACAATATTAAATAACACTTGGAAGAATAGAAATATTAAACAATATTTTAACTGTGTAATTAGTACCATTTTTTAATTTCAAATTTATACTGCTTTATTCATTTTTTGGAGCTGGAATTATTTATTTAATTGACATTTTAGTTACCAGATACATGTGACATTTTATAAGAATCCAAAAATATATGCTGAAAGAGAGCCCATCCTCAAAGAAACTATATAAATGTGTTATGGTGAAAACACTGTGTGAGCTCCTATTATTCATAAAAGGGTGAGGATTTAAAGCAAATTAGGAAATGGGAAATTATATTGTAAGTACCAAGGAAGTTCCTGTAACAAAATTGAAGTTAGCATGGATATAGGAAATAGTGTAAAAATATCAATATATTCATGACAAAATTTAAATTCATATGATGGAAAGACATATTTAGATACTAAAAATATGCAATATTACAACTGCTTATTTACAGAAATAACCATAAATTTTTGTAATATTATACACCATATATTTGAAAAATTACAAAAAATTCAAATTTCCTGATTGCTATATGAAAATCTTCTCTTTCAGGGTTTATGCATTCTGATATGACCTCATTTTCCTAAAAACCATTGCTTAACTCATACTTTTTAAGGAACATATATCAGATACTGACTCTTATCACAGTTGGATGTCATGTCAATTCCAACTTGTTAGCAATGTGTGGAAACAAGAACACAGTATCTGTACTTGTCTTGAGAAGGGTTCTCAGAAGGAATTCAGGGAAAGCTGGTGGTGTGCAGATCACAGTTGGAAGAGCACAGTGCAGAGCTCCCTACTGTGCATTCAAGTCAGACAAACCTGTAGTCCAGCCAAAAATCAACTATAGAAAGTATTGCCTTGGATAGAAGAATGTTTAATTTTATATGTAAAGTTGGGTTGGCTCCAGGACCTGATTATTTAGGCAAACATTGATCTAGGTTTTACTGAGGGTGTATTTTGTAGACATAATCCCAGTATCTAAATATTTTATTTTAAATAATGCAAATTATAATTTGTGATATTATTGAAATTCATTAAAAAGAATTTTCTCCAAGAAAAGGAAATTCTCCGTGAAGCATGACAGTGTTTTAGAATGACCTATCTGCGGGTCTCAGACTTTCTGGTCAGGGACTGTGTTTGTTAAAGCCTCCCTTCCATGTCTCCTGTCCAAATATGTCTATTAGCTTTCGCCTTCACTCTCTCTTTCTTTCCATTCCTCCTCAATATGAATTTCTTTTAATGTGATGAGCACATTCATAGAACATAAAAATACAGCATATATAGCTATAAATATATAACAATAATAACATAAACATAAAACTATTTCATAAATTCCGTATGTTAAAATTCTGTCTCCATTCCTGATGAGCACTAATAATTCATTTATTAGAGGAATGTGGCATATATTAATCAATTTAATCTTCATTAAGAAAATAAATTTCATGAGATGGATATTATTTTAGGCAGTGAGTAACCATGCTTAACATTATGCTGTACAATCTGATGGATTGCACCATATTTCTTGAGATCTGTATATGTTAACTACTACAATGATTATAATATATCCAAATCAAAGAAAAGTACCTGAGTTTTCACACATATAGCTTATTTATAGAAAATAGAAATAAGTTAAATCAAGGGACTGTTATTCATTTATTAATTATTTTATGGTTGTTCTCTTTCATAACCTTTCTTTTTCAGATGAACCTGCAGCTTCAGATAATGGTCAATTCCACCAAGGTGACTGAGTTTCTCCTGGAGGTTTTTGCTGAGACATGGGAGATCAGGCTCCTGCTCAGCATGCTCTTCCTGCTGATGTACCTAGGCAGCTTACTAGGAAATTTTACCATCATCATGGTTACCACCATTGACCAGAGCCTCCACACACCCATGTACTTCTTCCTCAGAAATCTGTCCATCTTAGACATGTGTTATGTTTCTGTGACAGTTCCCAATGCCTGTGTCAACTCTCTCAGTGATAACAGGGGCATTTCTGTGGCTGGGTGTGCTGCACAGATCTTTTCGGTCATTTTTTGTGCTAGTGTAGAGATTCTTCTTTTGGCCATGATGGCCCACGATCGCTACGCAGCCATCTGCCAGCCCCTTCTCTACCCTGTGATCATGAACCACCGAGTCTGTGTTCAGATGACTCTGGCTTCCCTACTCTTTGGTCTTGTGGCATCATGTTTGCACACAGTTAAAACATTCCAGCTGTCCTTCTGTGACTCTAACCTGGTCCCTCAGTTCTTCTGTGATGTCCCCTCTCTGCTGAGGCTCTCTTGTTCAGACACCTTTAACAACAGACTTTTACTTCTTCTAACTGCTATCGTCATTAGTGGTAGCTGCTTTATTTTCATTGTTGTATCATATGTTCACATATTTTCAACTGTGTTGAAGCTTCCTGTCAAAGAAGAGAGAGGAAAGGCCTTTTCCACCTGTGTCCCTCACATTATTGTGGTATCTGTGTTCCTTAGTTCTGCTGCCTATGTGTACCTAAGACCTCCAGTCATCTCAGAAGTGGTTCAGGACCTTATTCTGTCTGTACTTTATACCATTGTTCCTCCTTTCTTAAATCCTATTATCTATAGTCTAAGAAATAAACAGATAAAGGAAGCTGTTAGGAAAATAATGTTGAGACTTTTTGCCCCCCATATCACAAAATAAATTTAGATAAATCCTAGGTTGACACTAAGCTTCAGACTGTTAAAATGGTCTCCTTTTCTGAGATTTGTGCATTGTTACAAACAACTACCAAATTTTTGTTATCGCCTCAGAAATAAATATAATAATTGTCTACTTCCACTGGCTTGGTGGGGCATGCTTTAATCCTAGCACTCAGGAGGCAGATATCTGTGAGTTTAAGGCCATCTTGATCTACATAGTAGGTTCCAGGCCAGCTGAGGCTACAGGCAGACTCTGACTCAAAAATTTTGAGCAAAAAATTGCCTACTCCTATTTCCTTTATCTGGGAACTAAATAATTACTTCATAATTTATTATTTTTAATATCTGGATCAAACTGCAACCATTTGATTCATGTATATAATATATAATGATAAAATTAAATTAACCTTTTATATCTTATTAAACATGTTTTAATTTTTGGAGGATTTTATAAAATTTGCTTTCTTTAGTGAAATCTATGATTCAATGTACTTTTTGCAAATACTTTTAGAACTAAAATTTAATACCATTTATCATTAGAATTTGATTTCTCATTTACACGATTCATTACACATTTATTAAAGTGGTTGATTTCATAAAAGATACATTAATAAAATACAGTAGTTATTTATACAACCACATTGCTAATGGATGTTTCATCCTCACTATCTGAATGGTGGAGGAGTATCCTCTTTGAAGGGTAGGTGCCTTTCCACTTTAGTTGACTCATATTAATTGACCACCGCATGCTTAACTGCCCATTTTAATAGGATAGGATCGATTCACACTATTAGAGATAGTTATATTTTCTTGTGGTTTCTCTCTCCAGTATATTTCTGATGTATTTTCTGACTAAAATGCCCAATAAAATATTAATGGAAAGGTAACATGTTAAGTACAGTTTACATTAATTATTAACCTATATGAACTCTAGTTATTCCATTCTCTATTCAGCTGCTTCATAATATAAGCCTAACTGTGTACTTTTAACTAAGATTTGTAGAATGGGTCATTTACTTCTGGAAAACATTCAATATAAAAACAAAATGAGAAAAGAAACAATCCCCACAAATTAAATAAAGTATTCTGTGAGATATAATTTCAAAATACAGGTTTTTGTCTGTTATGCATTATTTAAATATGAGGAATTTGAAACCTAGTAAAGTACTAAAATGAATATAATTTCTAAACATTTTCTAAACAATAAATTCACTATATGAAATATAATTGTCATGTTTAAGAGTACACTAAGTCCTGTGTAAAGAGGAATATAATATATTTTAGCTTTATAATAATTTGTTTATGGTCAATCTGTTAATTAAGTACAACTGTAGATAAGCCTACATGGGTCCATTCAGGATCAGTGAACACCATAGTCCTTATTTTTAACCTAGCAAGATTGCCTTATGAAATGCGGCTGTTTTGTCCAGAATTTCACTTCAGGGCAAAGAAATCGATTAATAAATTGACATACTTCCCTTTCTAAAAACTGACAAATCTAATATCTCTTTGAATGCAAAGGAAAATCGGTACAGCTAATATGAACCGGTTTGTTCACATGGATGATCAAAAAGGAGGCACAAACACTCTGAGAAACAAATCCCTATTCAGGTACTAGCGGCTGTAAGCACTATTAATCTTTAGGAGAAAGATATTTACTTATCGCTACAATATTTATATGAATCCTCAGGGACTTAAGTGCTGAAACGTTGATTCTCAGTATGTCAATGCTAAAACTCAGAACCTTTAAAAGGTGATAAAGAATGTGATGTATTTAAGGCATTAAACTTTGCCCTCAGAAGTTAATGGCTATGTGATGAAGTGACTAAAATCAAAGATAAGATGCTCACCATCGTTAGTCATTCAGGAAATCAAAATTACAGGCACAATGTGAGACCACTGTAAACCTTATCTTACTCTGTCTAGATTAATTAAAGTTTCAGTTTGCCTAGAAATGTATGCGTTCTATAAATATTAGATCAGATACACGGTGCAGAAGCTGTAACAAAGGAAGTTTTTTCTGTTAGAAAGGTTGTGTTTCTAAGCTGAGATCTGCACCTTCTTCTTCCCTCCACTCCATGACAGACCATCAGCACCATGTAGCTTGGAAATTACTCATTTTTCTGAAAAGCTTGGGCAAGCATGGGCAAGTATGGACGGTGCAGGGCACTCTGGGAAAGAGGGGTGGAGCCAGCCGAGCAGCTAAGGAGAGTTACTGGCAGTGAGATTGGAAAGGGGAAAGCATGGGTGGGACTGCCAGGTCGAAGAGCAGCAACCTCAGGGTATGGACGTGGGACCCTTAAAACAGGGCTGCAGGGCCTAAATGCTAATGTATACTGAAGGCAGAGCTTAAATGATGGGCGGGTCCTGAGAAGCCATTTCTTGGTAAGTCACTCCCTCCCAAAAGTCATAAAACAGTACAAAACCCAAACTAAAAATGTCCTATGTTAGTCTGTGAGCCCTGGTGCCTCAGAGGGTGCATGAGCCTTCCAAGAAGGGAAAAGGGAAAAAAATTTAGTGCAACACACGACCTAGCAGTGGTTCTTCGGGTTCATCCAAGTTGAGACCAGCAATACCAACTGTGATGGTCAATTTTCTGTTTCACCTTCAGTGGGCCTTGACTGTTCATGTATTTGATCAGACATCATTCTGTTTCTGTGATTGTGTTTTTGTATGACATTATCATTTAAATTGACGTAAATAGTATAGCATATGGGCCTTCTCACTTGGGGCCCCACAAATCAGCTAAGCCTGAATAAATCAGACTTGTTTTCCCCCTTGGGTAGAAGGAGTCTTTCCCTCCCTAACTTAGATATGAAACATCAATACAGACTCTTCCTGACTGGACTGCAATACCTGTCTTACATGTGAGTCAACAAATATTTTCCTAAGGTATTTCCATATTTTTCTCTGAATTCTGAACTCAGGACTCAAGTAAGAAAGAGAATAACTGAGAAGCCACCTCCACTGACATCAGGTCATCTTAATGCATGACTCCAGTGGAAGAACATCTCATTGCTTGTTCCCCTGGACCTGAGGGGTGGGGAAGCGTTGAGGAAAGCAAGCACAAGAGATGTCACCAGGATCCATGGTCAGGAAAAAGAAAACACTCAGCCTGCCCACTCCCACCTCCCCATGCACTGGGCCTCCAGCTGTGCCTCCATGCATGTGGTTCTCCAGGGTGCATCTTCAAGATTCATGGTGAAAAGGTGACTAGCACAGGGGCTCACAGGCAATAATGAGAACTGGGGCATGGGCACCTGATACCCCTCTAGGAGTTCTGGTGCTGGAAGTAGGTTCATCCAGGCAGTGGCTTCTGCTGTGCTGTGGTTGTGGGGAGGGTAGGTCATCAGGTGGCAGGTAGCCACACTGTGCACTCATGGATCCCTGGTTTTCATCACCCAACTCTCCAAGTCCAAGCACAATGAAATCTATTGACAAGCACAGGCAGAAAATGACTTAGCACGTAAGAAAATAACTGAAGAATCGAGATGGCATCAGCACTGCCACAGGTGGAAGAATGGCAGCAGGTCTTGGTAAAATGTGACTCCAGCAAGATGCATAGGCCCTGGTTCCCCCTGGCCACCGAGAAAGGTATAAAAATAGAAGATGCAAGTGAGTCAACTGGATTCTTGACTATGAAGAAAAGACAAACAATTTATCAGTCTCCTTGAGCAAAGGTTAAGGGTGGTTTTCTCCAATATTGGTAGTCCTCTAGTGAGAAGTTGAAGCCAGCAAGTAATTGTTTCCTATGTTTGATTCAAAGATGCCAGGCTGGTCTTTCTTAAACATAAGTATAGTCATGTGGACAGAACTATGGAGACACAAAAACGGTAAGGACCAGCATAATTGAAATTAGAACCCCTCTGTTGAGTCTGGAACTTTAGTCGCCTCCCCAGGGCCTGAGCATGTGGTTCCCTTCCCCAGTTAGCCTGGGACTGTGGTTCCCTCCTGGGACTTGGAATTTTGGTTGTCTCTCCTGAACCTGGAGCTGTGGTCCTCTTCTGTGAGCCTGGAACTGTGGTTCTTTTTGATGAGCCTGAAGCTGTGATTATCTCCCATGACTGGAGTTGTGATTGTCTCCTATGAGCTGGAGCTGTAGTTGCCCCCCATGAACCTTTATTTATGGTGACCTCTTGTGAAACAGAGCTGTGATCCTCTCTCATGAACAGGAGTTATTTCTACTCATATGAACCTAGACCTGTGATTGCCTCTTGTGAACTGGTGCTGTGTCCCCTTCTGTGAGTTAGAATTGGGATTCCTCCTCTAAACCTGGAACTGTGGTCCCTTCCCATGAGCTGGAGTTGTGGTATTGTCCCGTGAACCTAAAGCTGTGTTCCTTCCTGTGGACTGGATCTGTGGTCTCCTCCCGTAAGTCACAGTAGTGGTCCCTTCCTGTGAGATGGAGCTGTGATTCATTTCTGTGAGCTGGAGTTTTAGTCCCTTCTGATGAGCCTGCCTTGAATCTGAAGCTGTGAATCATGAACAGGGGTTGTGGTCTCCTCCTGTGACTTGAGTTGCAGTTGTCTCCATGAGTTTTAGGTGAGGGTACCTGTGAACTGGAGCTGTGGTCTCCTCCAATGAGCCTTAGCTGTGGTCTCCTGATGTAAACCTGGATTTTTTCATCCCACGCATAAACCTGGAACTGTAGTCCCTTCCTATGAGCGGGAGCTATGATCTCCTCCCCCAAGACCCAAGTTTGTGCGTGGCAGGGGCTTTGCCTCAGTGTTGGGCTTATTCTGGTGACTGGAGACTTCTGTCATTTCCAGATTCTAGTTTTGGAAGGACTGATTCTTTAGAGTGGCCTTCCCCCCATCTCTTGATGGCCACTGTGGTCTTAGTTCCACACCTGGTCTTGGACATCCAAGCCATTCTTATTCCCAGGCACCAAGAGGTTTTCCATCATCTTCTATTATTCTTAAACAGTTTCAGTGTGCCTTCTTCACCTGCGCCCTACAGAAAATTTAAAACACCAAATTGAACTTCTGGAGATAAAAATCA